ACACACACACACACATATATATATATATATATATATATATATGCATGCACTTTAGGTGTTAATAAACAAGCTCACGTACATTGCAAAAATATATAACATAATAAATACATGACTAAATGGAGCAAATAATGCACGTCAAATAAAAAAATATGTGTATTGATGACATTATTTGTGCGTAAAATTAGTATTTAGTGATTATGACAGGTTACAATAGCAAGCTGAAGTGATAGACTGTGTGTGCAGGGCTGGTTAATAGGGAGCCTTGGCACTAAAGCAGCCTGACGTGTTCATCTGGTAGGCAGAGTTAATTATCTCGGCTTGTTGTTGTGGAGAATGACATTACAAAGGTGGCCGGAATGATCATTAAAGTCTTTAGCGTTACCGGGAGAGGAGATGAAACCAGAGCCGGCTGAGTGGGTCATTAATGCCCATTAACCCCCAATGTGCTGCTGTGTGAGAAGCTCAACACGCGCTCGCAACTTTATAATATGGAAACCTGCTTTAATTAAGATCACGACAGTTTGCCGGGATTTTGAAAAAAAAAAAAAAAAAGCAGCAAAGGTTGCTTCAATGAACGGAGGGTCTCACTCCGGAAGCGACGGTGATGCTGGGGTCCAGCAAAAGCATCATCTCAGACCTCCTACAGGTTACTGCCACAACAGGTTCACAGAAATGACATCACACCTCATTAGGCCACTTGGATAATAAAAGCCGCTATTCAAAGACTTAAGCTCACTGTATATGCATAACTGAGTGGTCAGACGTAGCATCATCGCCATCATAAACATCACAGGCCTGATTACCACTGACAGTGATACATCTTCAAGAAGGAGGTCAGGCTCTTGTCAGAAATTTGCCAGGAAAACGATCATTTTCTGAACGTTAAGAAGAAATAAGGAGCTGGTTCAGGATTTCAAGAAGCAGTAGGCATCTCACACTCCCATCTATACTGACGGAGAAGCTGTGCAGAGGGTCCTGACAATACCTGATCGCGGTACTTAGTCACATGATCTCAGCATCAGGAGGTCCTGATATGTCTAATTAAGGAATGCAGTGCTGACCAATTTTTAATGATGGAATTTATCCTCACTGGCAGTGTAACATTTTGATTCTCACAGCAGTCAAATCACTGCAGTCAAATCACTGCTCTGAGCATTCCTGACACACCTCATGTCAGCTCAGGACAGGCTGCCCTAGAAAGGCAAACCGCGACATAAAGGGCTCCAGTCACCCTGCAAAGACGCTCCCTTATCCTTTCTGCTATCGCATCTTCAGCACTTGTACCACAAGCTGGGCGGCTGGTGTGTGGCTCAGTAGGCTGGGCTGCTAAGCCTGTGATCGGGAGGTCACTGGTTTAAAGCCCAGAGCCAGCAGTGCAGTTTCACCACTGGGCCCCTGACTGAGGCCCTTAACCCCCGATTGCTCCAGGGACGAGCTGACCCAACCTTCTTCAAAAAATAAACATGTCACTTTCAATAAAAGCATCTGCTAAATTAATGAAATGTCAGACATTTTTTGCTCGCATGCAATTAGACCCCTCAACAAAAATGAATTGCATAACAAATCCTGCTACAATTAATTATCTGACACTTTAAACAAGATCTACTAAAGTTCCACTTGCACATGTAAATTTTATGATGCTTATCTGAGTTGGTGCTATTTTCTGCTCGTTTATCATTATTGTCCTTTATGGTTACCTACTGTACTTGTTGTTCTGTATTTATTTCGCAGTTCATACAGCCTGCGTTACACCTGTGTAATACTGTTTCTTCTTTTTTTTTTTTAGAGTATTCTTGGCTGCCAAGCCGGCAAGCCAATTATCAGCGATGAAGGGGGGATAGGAGGAGCAGGGCACTGATCCACCCAGAGCAAGCCTCAGCGTCCTGGCAGCGAGCCAATCAGCCGCCATTTAAGAATGAGCTTAGCGTGTCAAAGCGCTCGAGCCGTGAGCCACGCCCGTGCCTCTCAGCTGACATGCCTGGGTTTTGTGCGGGGGCCCCCGTCCGTGCGAGAATATTCCCTCGCGCTCTGACAGCAGCCTCCCAGCTCGCAGCTGCATGCTCCGGCTGTGATCGACGCCGGTGATTAATTTGCCCGCTTGCTGTACCAGCTGCTCTGCCCTGGATACACCTAAATATTTACCGCCTCGCAGCACTGACCGGCGTGGTTCTCACCTGAGCCTGTGCGTGCGGGACGAGTCGGAGAGACGGAACGTGACAGACGTGGGGGATTTTAACGTCGCCTCCGAAACTGGGAAACGGGTCAAATGTCCTGGTGAATTTGGGACAATTGGGAGGACTGGCACTTGAGTCACACCTACACAGCCTAACACACTGCGATGTGATGACAGATACTCACATTGTTCAGCATGTCTCGGTTAACAACTTGGGTCACGCGATGAGGGGAACTTCAGGATGTCGTGATCTATTTGTTTTTATTTGTACGGCTCCTTCCCCCCCACATCAGTCACCCCAATGTGCTTAAGATCAGCCGCCATGCCACCCCCAGCCCTGGCAAAATGTATTTTGGCAGACCCCAAAGTCTAGGGTTGATTTTTAATCCCAGTCCTGCTCTGTCCTAGGCCCAGCAGAACACCAGGTGGGACCGCTGGGGACTTTATACAAACAGTATCCAGATTATGAATGAGCTCTGTTCCCTAAGTCTGTCTTTTTGTATGTAAGTCAGAGCAACAACAACAATAATAATAATACAGCTGCACAATGTTTTTACAAGTGTTACGAAGTACTGCGTGCATTCGTCATTATTTAACCAAAGTTTTTAAAGTAATAGGCTTTATAGCATTTAGTTCGTAAGACTTTTCTATAAGTCGGATGTTCTTAACCTGGGAACTGCCTGTATAAGCATCACCCCTCTCCTCCTTCCTTCTCACAAACTAGCAATTTGGGATCCCAAAGCTGTGTGATTGGGGGGGGGTTGGCGGTCAGAGCAGAAGTTCACATTACTTCAGAAAGGAAGGATGAAGCTTTCATGAGCCCCGAATCAGTAACTCCGTATGTGACTTCAGTCAACGCTCTGACACGGAGCAGCAGATTGGGAGCAAGGGGACGTGCTTTGAGCTGCGCCACTGGGAGGCCGCTGTCTCAGATGAGGGTGATTAGCCGCATCTCAGAGGAAGTGAGAGGAGGTCAAGGGAGGCCAGCCACAGGCGCGTTACTGGAAGGTTTATGAAAATGTCTCAGGAGGCGATCGGCAACAGAATCTGCCGGCGGAGCACGCCCGTGTGTGTGTGTGCGTGCCAGTGCTGCCACGGACATGCACGCCCACATGTCCGCAGTCTGCATTTTTCACTCCATGGGCAGGCATGCGTGGAATGCCAGGGGCGGCACGTATGGCGGGACTGTCCCGGCTGCACTGGCAGCGAGGAATGCGTGTCGTGTCTAAAAGGGATTAACAAAGCGGCAGGGTGCCTGCGTGCTGGTAATACCTGCCGACTCTCCAGCCATCTCTCCGGGAATGGCCCACTTTCCGATCTCACAGGGACTGATGGAAAACAACGTGGTGATGTAAATCACCACAGGGACACAGAGCCGCCCAACAAGCTCGATTCTTCCCGTTGTGTGAAGTTGGGGTGACCAGGGATAATTGTTGTTTTCCCATTTTCATTTTTATAAAAAGTAGAAAAATGACATAAAGGAAAGCAAATCTTTTTAAAGTTAAGTTACGTGGGTTTGCGGAAATCTAAGTTATGCAGGCAGATTAATATATGCCATCGACCAAAAGACCCCCTCCAACAACTGTCACCAGTGTCCCCTACTTTCAAACTGTACAGCATGCTGGTAAACACATCCTGCCTTTAAATGATCTCACATCAATTTTGGAATACATTTACAAATTCCAGTGCATATTAACCTCAAAGGTAATGACTGGCAACATTGATTAAACTATTACTGAGCCACCATTAAACCTACTTCTTCAATGGTGCCATCTGGAGGCCAGATCCTCTCTCTCACTTTTGCGAGGTTTTTCTTTCACTCACATGCTTTTATAATTATTTCTTCATTTCACTGTATTCTTTGTCACTTAATGACACCCCAGCTGTGTGTAACGGGGTGGGGCTGTCAGGATGGGTGACAAGGTCCTCAAGCCCAGACTTTCACCAGCCTTCATCGTCACCAGTCATTGTCAAAATTAGACTGTCATCAGTTCCACAGGTTACGGATCGCTGTCACCCATTGTTTTAAAGAGAAATGTGTGCATTAACATTTCAAGACAACTTTTCTAGTACAATCAGTGTCATATAGGTTTAAAGATTTTTGTGGATATATTAACAATAATTTACAGACCTGTTATTATTTAATCCTTTAGGAGAAAAATAAGAATTATGAAAAAAAAAATCCTGATCAAAAGGTTTGCATAATAAAAAGGTCTCAATGCTCCGCATCTATGACTTCCAGAAATAAACCACTTCTAACCCCATCCACCACATTCTTTGCATATCAAGTACATGACCTGCATGTTGCTTTTTTATCAGATAGAATTGTTCAACAACTATTACATAACCAACAAGAATCACTCAGGAGTTATATGTTCTAAACAGCCGTTCTGGTTGTCACGCAACACATAGCTCCCTCTGCTGGCCACTACGGGGAACACCTGTAAAAGCAGGTCAAACAGACTGATAGGTGTCACACACACACACACACACACACACATGTTGGTGTACCTATCTACAGTAAATGGGGACCGTCCATTCATTTCTATGGGAAAAACCCTAATCCCAATCACGACACCCTTAACCTCTACCCATCCCTAACCTTAACCATAAGTAACCAACCCAAATACAAGACTTTTGCCATTTTTACTTTTTTGATTGCAGTCACAGATTTTTATAAAACTGAGGTTATCCAAATGGGGACCCAAAAGATGCCCCCCCCCCACACACACACACACACACACACACACACTCTTAGCCTTACTTTTATTCAACCTGCACTGCACATTTGGGCCTAACAGTATTTAATAGATTATTTAATACTTTATACATTAATGGAGTACTTTATTGTTGTTTACAGTTATGCACATTCTTAGCCTTTATAATTTGATGATATACTAAGTCTGATATATTTCAGACTTACACATACTGGAGAATGGTTCCCATTGGCCTATCAAGCTGCTAAGGTGTTGTGCTGCTACCAGCCAAAATCACGCAGGGCAGGTTATAAAATCACACACCCAAGAGTCTTTCCTCTTTCATCACATATATCAAATGCAGATGCGGTGACATGGGAGTATCAGACAGTAAATATGTGTGACTTGGGGTAGTAGGGCTTGTGGACAAGTATTTTTTACGTTTCTGATTGTTTTTCTGCCCTAAGGAGAACCTGTGTCCTATATGTATATAAATAGCTGCTCCTTCCTAGGAAAGAACACTCACCAAACCCTGGCAAGGACAGAACGTAGCAACTCTCAAAGAAATCCAAAGGAGAGAAGATATTTATAACCTCAAAGGTTCTTCATTCATTCACATACTGTAACCGTTTGATGCCAATCTGGTAAGAGATGTTTATCTCCGGGAGTCTAAACACAACACGAGTGCCATTCACTCCCCAAGGATGTGAGATTCTAGGGAAAACTACTTTGCCAACAGAAGACCCATTAAAACTTGTTTTGTCACACACCTGCTGTATGGAAAAGTTTGACAGACATAATGTCAGAGGCGTCCGAGGTGTCCACAAATGCAGCGAGGCAGACGGGCTGTCTGTCCATCTCGTAATTCGGCATTTAGGATTGTGTGCAACAGGAAAGTCACCTCCTGTGACTTGCAGACGTAGTGGATGCCAAGTCTGTTTCACTGTTAATACAGGTCTGGGGGTCAGGTATCCAGCGGGAAATCCTCCCCCCCTGAACCCCAGTCCCCAAAGCTCGTCTCCCCGGAGGAGTGGGGAGGGCTTTCGAACGTAATGTCCCGTTTCCTCCCAAACACCTGCTCCTGGAGCTCGATTATATCATTGCGAATGTCCGCCATCATGAGCAAGAGAAAGTCGAACGATCCCGGGGGTCCCTGTTACAGGAAATGGAAAAAGACAAGGATGCGTAAAAAAATTCTAATTTAAAAGGGAGTTTCGGAATAGTGACTCTCATTCAGATATGCAAATGGGAAGGTGTAGAGAAGACTTACCGCTAGACCTATGGGTCCTGGATAACCTCTCTCGCCCTGCAGTGGGAAAATACACACTAAGGTTGCTGTCCCAGTTAAACACAAACACTCTGTGCTAATTCAGTACAAACACACCACTTGGACAGCTGGACCTGTGCTGTGCTGTGCTCTGCTGTGCTGTGCCCTGTGCTGACCAGGAAGTTCCTTTACATATTCTGCTCACAAGTAAAGGTAAACTTACAACAACAACAACAAATTTATTTTTGTATAGCGCATTATCACAACATTACATTGTCCCAAAGCGCTTTACAGCATCCCAAAATGCAAGTTCTGAACTTACCTTCTGTCCATCCTTCCCAGGTGCTCCAGGAGGTCCCTGGTAACACAGAGCAAAATCATGGTAAGAAGAAAGGCAAACTACCCCAGCTTAGTAAAAAATATATATCAGTGCAGCTCACCACTGGACCCCTGCGCCCACGTTTGATGTGTGACAGGTCAGGCTCGGGACCCATAGGGCCCATATCACCACGTGGCCCCTGGGGGCCAGCGGGGCCTCTAGAGCCTGGTTCACCCTTCTCTCCATGCTCTCCTTGGGGTCCTGGGATGTAGTGCGTGAACACAGATCACAGATGGGTAAGGAACTGGAGTAGTAAGGGTTACGTGTTTGTGGGAATTTTCATTTGGATGAGCAGCATATACCTGGGACCCCTGGGGGCCCGGGGGCACCTGGAGAACCAGGCAGGTTGAGGGCATCCGGCCCTTTGCCCATCCATCCATGGGATGGCTTGTCGCTGCGGTTGGCCAAGTCAGGGGATGGTATCTATGGTTGAACAAAGGCTTTATTATAGCTGAAACATTTTTTTTTTTAATGGAACCACGTGTAAAAAAGTGTCCCTTCTGAAAATAAATGAAATGAATAGTAAATCTGTATTTCTCCTGCTCCAACAAAACAAGTAAGGAGGAAAAAGGAGCAGGGACTTTAAAAACATAATATCTCTTTGGATAATAATCAATACAACATGTCGCTATCAAGCTAAATGCATTAATAATCTAATAAACCATGTTGGTTATACTATCAAGCTGAATGTAAACTACTTTTCAATAATAGTTAATAAAAACACAGCTTTTTCAAAAACTTAGATAAATGTAATTCAATGATGCCAAAACCCACAAGAGGTTTTTTTTCTGATTTGCAATGATATAAATATGGCTGCAAACTTCATTTTTCAGTTCAGAGTGAACCAAAGTGTAGCAAAATATCTTGCGGCTGGATAGAAGTAATTTAAACTGATGAAAATATACACTAGTATTTCAGATATGGGACATTTAGGCAATAGTGTTGATCAAAAAACTGGAAACAGACAACTGGAGTGAGTTCTGAAATTGAAAAAAGAGTGAACAAGATTTTTTTTTCCAGACAGCAGAATCACTAACACCAGTTCTCACCAAACAATTTCAGCGACCACTATAGTTTGCTGTCATTGTTATTGCTGTTAATATGGTTTATCATAAAATGGAAGGATGGATGGATTCTACAGTGTCAGAAAGTGCCACGCGGTGCACGCATGCTCGACAATGCAGGTGCAGACCTGCGGGGTACAAATCAGGCAGGTGGCACAGATCGGGTAGCGACATGATGGAAGAGATTCCGCTTGGCCGAGCCAGTTACCGAGTATGACAGGCAGTCGAGGAGTGAAGGAGATGTGAGTGTGCGGGTTAAATTCGCTGGATGCATTTTTAATTTGAAATCAGGTAATCAGCAAATGTACATGGTATGATAACCATCGATTTTCATACCATGGTATACTATGAAACCGGTATACCATTGCAATCCTAACTGCAGGGCACACATGCACACACTAAGTCATATGATATAGGTCAATTAGTGCTGCCAGTCTACCTAACAGAATGTGTTTGGATTGTTAAAGAAAACCCATGTGAAACAGAAAGCATAGGGCAGCTTCACAGAGCAGAGATGGGACCCAAACCCCTCACCATACAGGTACACCATGCCACCCAAGCTGGGTCTCTTCTTCATTTAAATCAATATACCCTGACTAACTATACTGTAGCTACAGGGCCACAGATCTGACTGCTCCACCAGGTGATGCTATGCCTTACCTGCCCACTAGGTGGTGTGCTGCCCAGTCTCAGTTTAATCTGCAGCAGGCTGTTCCTCATGCTGATAAAGTCCTGACAAGTGACTGAACAGGACTCGCTGCTCATCAGGGTGTCTGATTTCCCCGAGGAGCTCACTGGGTACAGAGAGACAGGGAAGGAGAGAAAGAGAGAGAAGGAGAGGGAAGAAGAGACAGAGAAGGAGTGATAGACACGGGGGGAGACAGTGGTATTTTTGATAGTGTCAGCCAGACCATTGTATGCGCAGTAAATGAAAAAAAAATGCTTCTTCATAAAATACTTCATACAACATTTAGTGAAATTACACTATATGTGAAGAACAAAGAACATTACATCTAAAGGCACAGCTATGGTTGAAAGACCACATTCAGTTTTAATTTCAGAAACTACAGAAAAAGGAAGTAAATTTTATATATCACTAAGACTGATCTCCTCCTCATGGTACATTGCCTTGGAGGCTTGCATTCATCTGGGAAGCTAAGAGCTATGTTGCCTGGAATTTATTATTATTTACTATTAACAGGGTCAGCCACAGCAAACACGTCTTAGCAGAGGTGCTAAATGAAATCTATCACCTATTGGGCAGCAGCAATAAAGGACGTACTGTGCCAGCGACGAGCCCCTCTACGGTGATACGGGATTTGGCCCCAACAAGTGATGCAGACAAAGAAGGAATTTCAAAGTTTCTGGTAGCATAATGGATGACTGGAAAAACCAAGAAATATCAGAAGGACGTCAACATGTGCTTTACTGATCAGAATAAAGCCTTTGATTACGCTGACCAATGGACGTACCAGAGCATCATACTGTCCTTATGAGTCTCTATATATTTCACAAGATGCCACAGGAAAAACAGAATATGGGGAATCTGATTCGTCGCTCATTAGTAATGGAATTATTAGTAAGGTTGTATACCATTGCCAATCCTATAATGTGTTCAAAGAAAATCTAACAAGAGAAGTCGGTGGAAGACACATCAACAGCCAGATGACGACACCACACTTAGAGTGGAAAATAAGAATCTGAAGGCGCTTATAAGGAAACTGAAAGATTGTTCTACGGATAAATGTGAAGAAAACTAAGTTTATGACCACCAGAACTGCAACTGACTTCAGAGTTGATGTTGGACGCATAGAAGCTTCACATAAACAGTCATCAACCATAAAGGATCCAGCAGTAAAGGAATATGTTGCAGGTTGGCACTCTGCAGGACTGCCATAAAGGAACTGGAAATAAGCCTTCAGAGGTACTGATTGATGCCTTTGAACTTTTGTGCTTGCAAAGCATATTAAGAATACCATGGACCACAGGGAAAAGCAACACAAGTGGGTCTTGATCAAACCAAGTCTGAACTTTCACTTGTTTAGTATGAGATGACTCAAATACATTGGAGAAGACCATAATGCTGAGAAAAGTCTGACGACCCAAATAGAAGACAGAACATTCTGGAATCATGACATTTATATGGTTGCCAGTCTTTGAAATCAAATTCATTCTAATAATAATGAGATTGAGCTGAACCTTTAAATATTCAAGAGCTCAGCCAAGAAAAGTATCCCTTCAGCCAGCTGCCAGGAAAGCGGGGGACAGCGTTTAAACACCGTTTAAGATCAGGAGAGGAAGTCAGGTGATCATGTGGTTATTTGTGTTGATTCAATCCATGTGTCTGTCCTAAAAACTATCCGTGAAAATCGGTGTGCTCCATTCATTGATCCCCCCCTACAGTACCCCATGCATAATCCTGATGCTCTTCCCAGGACTTGTTCCCATTTCACGTTTCACTGATACGCACTCCTGAGTTCACTTTCTCCTTTTCTTGCCAAAATGGCCCCTTTGATATTTGTTCGGGTTCCCTTTGTGTCCTGCGTGGCTCTCATCCCTCTCCAGTCCCTACAGGCCCCAAAAGCCCCTCCAGATCACCAGTAAATCGGCACATTCCTTGTAACGTGGTTCAGAGCATTTCTCAGAACTTTCAGGTACACATCATGTGAAATTCCAACTGTAAGTAATCAAGTACCATCTAAAATATTTCATCAAAGAAGACAAACCAATCCCAACTGCACAATTATCAGGTTCATTCATCTTAGAAAATATATGCTTACTGTTAGAGACAGAAAGCACAGGCAGATCTACCTACTGGCTTAGAGACAGCTGGACCACTGAACTCGGAAGACAACAAAATCCAGGCTACAATCCCAGGAGAGGGAACCAGCATAGCGGGATGGGATGAGAGAGGTTACTTACAGCTTTTACTGGCCACGCAGGTATGAAGGTCTGGCGCCAAGCTGTAACCGTGACGACAGCCACACAGGAAGCTGCCTGGTGTGTTTGTGCAATCCTGTTCACACACGGTGCCATTGGACTCTTCACACTCATCCACGTCTGTGCGAGGGATACACACAAACACACAAACATACAGGTCTGTAATTATATCTATGTGGGGACTCTCCATTCATTTTTGGGGGTAAAACTCTAATCCAAACATGATGAAACATAAGTAACCAAACAAAAAAAGGGACTTTCGGAATTTTTAGGTTTTTGATTGCATTCACAGATGTTTGTGTGGACCTGATAAAAGGTCCCTACAACATCAAAATAACAGGATTTTATTACATTGTGTGGGATATTTAGTCCCCACAATGTAATATAAACCTAATTTACACACACACACACACATGTATTTCTATGGGCATAATCTTAATCATAAGTATGACAACTTTAACCCCTTAACCTAACCTTAACCACGAGTAACCAGAAAAAAATACAAGACTCTTGGCTATTTCAGTTTTTTGATTGCAGTCACAGATTTTTATAAAATTGAGGTTATCCTTGTACGGACCAAAAAAATGTCCCCGCAAGGTAAAAAGTTACAGGCTTTTATCAAATCTGGTCCCCGCAATGTAATAATTAGAAAAGTGCACACACGCTGACTGGTGTTACTGGTCAGGCTCGGCCTGGTGTGCTGCTTCAGTCCCGGCACTGGAAGCTGATATTTGGCTTATTTAAACACGTTAAAGTAAAACTAATCCAAACCCAGCGAACTCCCCTAAACTAAGCTAAGATAAACTAAGCTAAACTAAGATAATCTAGGGAAGCAGCACTTCCTGTTTGCACTGGACCTTTGGTTCATGCACACAGTGGGACACTTTATAAAGTAATTTGGGATAAGCACCTAGGTCAGTGCTTCCCCTCTCCTGGGAGCTGTGATGCAGGTCCGGAGTCCTTCAGCACGCTACCTGCTACGCCCTGCGCCTAGCGCTCCCCGTCACCGGCAGCATGTCCGTGTTCGGTATTGCGCAATGACACGGTGACACAACAGCACGCACGTGCTTGGAGCCCGTCCTACATGGACTCGCCCATTTTTGTCTAAAACCGTTTTTAAGTCCCGGTTTGGGAAGAGCTGCAAAGGACTGCTGAGAGATGCAGAACAAGAGCGTAGGGCAACAGAATGAGGGACGGTAGGCAAGAGCGGGGGGATGGACCGGCCCGTGGGGGGCACTTGGGGGGAGGCTACTTGTAATACAACATTATATTTGTTGGGGGTGGTCTTGTGAAAGCTAAACCAGAGGGGTTGGGGGAGGCAACAGTAAGGTGTCAACCCTAAGGGTTTCTTATGAGGGTTCATATGGGAGGCTCCCTGAGCTCTCTTGGGGGAGGGGTGGGGGTCCTGGGCACTGCCCACCCGTACCCACACCCCCTGACACACCCCCCCGGTGCCAGGGTGGGCGAAGTAAGCTGCACCACGCACCGAGGCAGTAGGGGTGCTGATGGCGGCGGTGACGCTCCCTGTCGAAGCGGAAGCCGGGGTAGCAGGTGCAGACGACGCGGCCAAAGTTGTCGGTGCACTGCTGCTCACAGGGGGACCCCTCGCACACGTCCACGCCTGGGACAGGGGGGTAGAGAGAGAAGGCACAGACATCAAGGCAGGCCGCCCTTCTGCGTGCTATATCGCCACCTTCAGGCTCAGGCTACAAAGTGCACCCCAGCTAGGATCTTCTCATCTCTTACATACTAAATGCCAAAAAAAACAAGTTTTATGGTTTGAAAAGTTTCAAGTCCCAGCAGGCTTAGAATGTGGAACATTTTTTTAATGGTATAAGTCTGTCCATCTTCTGGTGCCTGCAACAGTAAAATAAGTGGTTTTAAAGAAGGTGTATTTTTTACCTACTTTCTGGAATGCACTGGCCCATCACAAACCTGTGTCCTTCACAGCACTTCCTCCTGAAAGAGAAACAGGAAGTGTTAGCAAAAGTACCCAGTCAGTTAGCATCAATACCAGGTCAGTTAGCATTAGCATCCAGTCAGTTAGCATCAGCACCCAGTCAGTTAGCATCAATACCAGGTCAGTTAGCATTAGCATCCAGTCAGTTAGCA